GTGAATGAGAAAGCAAAGCAAGGCCAATCAGACTGATCTAAAATTGTTCCCTCCCACACTGCACGTCTATTTTAAAGCTGGTCATATCATGATATGCTCCAATGTAAATGTGTTTTAATAAGAAAATGATGGTCCTGTTTTATTTACTGCTGACAGCCAGAATGGGGGGTAAGTATGTAGAAAAGACGTGTTGCAGTTATATTTAAAGTACCGTGCATATGTTCTCACAGTAATTTAGCACGTGGCAGACGACAGTTTATCTCTCTTGTTTATAATACTATTTGTTAACAAGTATCATAACTTTATTTTTTTGTTTGTTTTCCCAGGTTGCACAAATGACCACAATTTTGTGACAAAGACTGTTGATGTTGGACAAAATGTGACACTTTCGTGTATTCGCCAGTCAACACTTTTGCACCAGGAAACATTATTTTGGATCAGACTAGTTTCTGGAAACCAGTTTGAATTCTTGGGAGGAACATTCACCTTTGATTATGACGACGTTAACAATACATCTCATATTACAGTAAAACAAGAACCTGGAACCTTTATTATGCAAATCAGTGAAACTAAACTAAGTGATACTGGTTTTTACTACTGCATAAAAGTGAGACAGCTTGCTATGACCTTTTTGGAGGGAACATTTCTGACCATCAAAGGTAAAAAAAAAAAAAGTTTATGTGCTTATGAGTGTAATTTTAAAATGTTCAGTTTAATGGCATCTCAATAAAGTTCATTTATTTATTTATGTTAATCTTTTTCAAAAGGTCCAGAACCTGATGTCATACAGATGCGATCCTCTGATCGTATTCATTCAGGAGACCAAGAGACTCTGCAGTGTTCAGTCCTCTCTAAGTATGAGAAGAAAACTTGTCCAGATAATCCCAGTGTGTACTGGTTCAGAGCTGGATCAGACAAACCCCATTCCATTTATGTTCATGGAAACAGTGGTGATGAATGTGGGAGTCCTGAAGCTCCCTCACAACGTAAATGTGTCTACAGCTTCTCAAGGAACGTCAGCTCCTCTGATCCCGGGCCTTACTACTGTGCTGTGGCCACATGTGGACAGATCCTTTTTGGAAATGAATCAAAACTGGACATTAAAGGTAAATGTTAAACATTTCTATAGCATACATATGTATGAGTAAAATATAATTGTTTTAATTGATAATGTTGCCAAAATAATGGTTGTTTTAATTTTACAGCACCCAACATGTGGGATTTGCAGACGGCCAATGCAGCTCTCTTTCTGTTATGTGCTGCTTTGGTTACAAGTCTCATAGTTATAGGTTCCCTCATTTATACTCTCAAGGAGAAAGCTTGTGATTGTTGGAATGGTAACAGATGTTTTTCCTTACATCATTCGATCATTATTGTTTTAATTTTACAGGTTTACATTATAATCTAAATTAACCTATCATATCATTATCTCTCTTTGTTCGACTAATAGAAGCTGGAAGATCCAGTAGTGGTCAACAGAGAAGTTGGCAGGTAAAGTGTATATCTAAGACTTGAAAAGGTTTCATACTTTTCTCGTGGCATTTGTAAATAACATTTAAAGTCTAAGATTTTGTCTCTCTCCCTATATACATATATATGTCTCATATTTTTCCTCAGAGAGCTAAGGATTTGGTGACCTATTCTGTGGCAGTCTTCACCATGTGGAAAGCTGAGCAAAGGCATGACAGAAAGGCAGCAGACTGACTCATGTCAGTGCTTGGCCAGATATTTTACACATTGTATATTTACCAACTAGAACTTTAATTTTCTCATAAATTGTGGGAAAGCTAGCATTTAGCTATCACCTCTGCTTCTA